AAACATTATTAGAAACACCATAACAGAGGCTCAAACTAAATGTATGCCCCAAAATAAAAAAAAAGGTAGAGGACCAAAAAAAAATTACCACCATGGCTAAACAGAATTAAAGAGGCAGTTAGAGGCAAAAAGACATCCTTTAAAAAGTGGACATTAAATTCTGAGGAAACTAGAACAGAGCATAAATTCTGGCAAGTCAAGCAGAATTAGGCAGGCCAAAAAAGAATTTGAAGAGCAACTAGCAAAAGACTCAAAAACTAACAAACACACACACACACAATTAAGTACATCAGAAGCAGGAAGGCTGCCAAACAGTGGGGCCACTGGACATTGAGGTGCTAAAAGGAGCACTCAAGGAAGACAAAGACATTGTGGAGAAGCAAAATGAGTTCTTTGCCTCCGTCTTCACTACAGAGGATGGGAGGGAGATTCCCACACCTGAGCCATTCTTTTTTAGTGACAAATCTGAGAAACTGCCCCAGCTTGAGGTGTCATTACAGGAAGTTTTGGAACAAATTGATAAATTAAACCCGGGGTTCTCACAACACATTTTTGGGTGGTCTCAGAGTGTGGCCACCAACTCTTGCTGGGGGCCACTCTCACAATTTTTCCTAAAATACTTACCGGTAATTAACTTTAGGAAAAACAAAGAAATATGCACATAGATATGTCCAAATCCTTGTCATTTATTGATGTAGGATTTTTTTTCAGACTCCATATTAAAAATAACGTACAGTTGTCTGTATTTTTTACTGAACATAAACAGAATAGAAACACAAATAAGGTGCTTTGCACATTCTTGTCCTTTTTCTTTTTTTAATGTAAGAGTTGTTGAGAGTAAGTCTGTTGTGAAAAGTGCTATTAACAAACATACAAATATAACTTTTCACAGCAGATTTACTCAGTCCCAGCAAACCTGGGGACAAATTAAGCCCTGGATGGGGAGGTGGGTACGGAGGCAGCTGGGACTAGTGGCAATGGGGCACTGGGGGAAGCAGCTGGGCCCAAGCCCACCACTGCAGGGCCAGGGAACAGAGGCTAAAGCCCCTTAGCTGGAGCCTGCCACCCGCCACCCCAGGGCTGAAGATGACCCCACTGCCCCCAGGAAGATGAGGAACTCACTGGTTGCCTGCTCCTCCAGCTTGTGTGTCTCCAGAGGGGGGCAGGGCCCAACCACTACTGATGGCCTTGGAGGAGGGGCCAATGCTTTGTGACATCCCCCCACTCTCCCCATCTCTGCCCAGGAGGCTGTGGCCACAAGAAAAACCCCAGGTGGATGCATTTGAGAAACACTGGATTAAACAGTAATAAGTCAGCAGGACCAAATGGGATTCACCCAAGAGTTCTTAAGGAACTCAAATATGAAATTGCAGAACTATTAACTGCCATATGTAACCTAGCACTTAAATCAGCTACCAGATGACTGGAGGATAGCTAATGTGACGCCAATTTTTAAAAAAGACTCCAGAGGAAATCACTGCAGTTACAGGCCAGTAAGCTTAGCTTCGGTACCAGGCAAATTGACTGAAACTATAGTAAAGGACAGAATTATCAGATACATAGATGAACATGATTTGTTAGGGGAAGAGTCAAAATGGCTTTTGTAAATGGAAATCATGCCTCACTAATCTATTAGAATTCTTTGAGGAGGTTAACCAACATGTGGACAAGGTTGATCCAGTGGATATAGGGTACTTGGACTTTCAAAAATTCTTGACAAGGTCCCTCACCCAAGGCTCTTAAGCAAAGTAAGCAGTCATGGGATAAGAGGGAAGGATCTCTCCTGGATCAGTAACTGGTTAAGAGATAGGAAACAAAGGATAGGAATGAATGGTCAGTTTTCACAATGGAGAGAGGGAAATAGTGGTGTTGCCCAGGGATCTGTACTGGAACCTGGGCTGTTCAACAGACTTAAATGATCTGAAAAAGGGGTAAACAATGAGGTGGCAAAGTTTGCAGATGATGCAAAATTACTCCAGACAGTTAAATTCATAGCAGACTGCGAAGAGTTTACAAAGCATTCTCACAAAACTGGGTGACTGGGCAACAAAATGGCAAATGAAATGTGGTGGTTAATAATTGCAAAGTAATGCACATGGGAAAACATAATCCCAACTAAAATATAAAATGATGGGGTCTAAATTAGCTGTTATCAATCAAGAAAGATCTTAGAGTCATTGTGAGTAATTCGCTGAAAACATCCACTCAATGTATAGCGGCAGTCAAAAAAGCTAACATTGGTAGGAACTAGGGCTGTCAAGAGATTAAAAAAATTAATCACAGTTAATCGTGCTGTTAAACAATAATAGAATACTATACTGTATATATATATGGGTGTTTTCCACATTTTCAAATATATTGATTTCAATTACAACAGAATACAAAGTGTACAGTGCTCACTTTATTTTTATTATAAATATTTACACTGTAAACATAAATTGTATTTTTAAATTCACTTAAGTACTGTAGTGCAATCTCTTTCTATGAAAGTTGAACTTACAAATGTAGAATTATGTACAAAAAATGCATTAAAAAACAAAACAAACAATGTAAAACTTTAGAGTCTATAAGTCCACTCGGTCCTACTTCTTGTTCAGCCAATCACCCAGACAAACAAGTTTGTTTACATATGCAGGAGATAATGCTGCTGGCTTCTTATTTACAGTGTCACCTGCAAGTGAGAACAGGCATTCGCATGGCACTGTTGTAGCCAGTGTGGCAAGATACGTGCCAGACGTGCTAAAGATTCATATGTACCTTCATGCTTCAACCATCATTCCAGATGACATGCACCCATGCTGATGATGGGTTCTGCTCAATAAAAATCCAAAGCAGTGCAGACCAACGCATGTTCATTTTCATTATCTGAGTCAGATGCCAGCAGCAGGTTGATTTTCTTTTTTGGTGGTTTGGGTTCTGTAGTTTCTGCATTGGAGTGTTGCTCTTTTAAGACTTCTGAAAGCATGTTATACACCCTGTCCCGATCAGATTTTGGAAGGCACTTCAGATTCTTAAATCTTGGGTCGAGTGCTGTAGCTATTTTTAGAAATCTCACATTGGTACCTTCTTTGCATTTTGTCAACTCTGCAGTGAAAATGTTCTTAAAATGAATATGTGCTGGGTCATCATCTGAGACTGCTATAACATGAAATATATGGCAGAATACAGGTCAAACACAGAGCAGGAGACATACAATTCTCCCCCAAGGAGTTCAGTCACAAATTTAATTAACGCATTTTTTTAATGAGCGTCATCAGCATAGAAGCATGTGCTTTGGAATGGTGGCCAAAGTATGAAGGGGC